ACTTTAAAAAAAAGCATCAAAAGCGAGTTTAATGTTACTTGTTTTAAATGTCTTATTTTTTCTTTTTGAGCTCTTCAAATCTTCTACTCAAATCATCGAAATCTATATCATCGAGATTTTTTGGTTCATTAGAATCTGCATGGTGAATGGGTATATCAGAAGGCACTGAAGGCAAAATAGGTAGCTCTGGATAATTATCATTATTAGGTGGTAGTTTAGATCTAGGCTGAGGTTTAGGCTTTGAACCATCCTGAAAAATGAGTTAGCTTCTAGTTTTAAAATACATTACAAAATTTTAAATCATACAAATATTCATTTATTATACCTGCATGTTGTCAGAACATAATGAATCATAAGCTGGAGGCATTGCTCCTATCTCGTCCTGAGGGTCGAATAATTTTAATATATGAAATGAATTTAATAAAATACTTATAAAATGATAATTAATTACGTCTACCATAATTACCTGCAAAAAGCTGGTATTAATGTCTTTTGTTTCTTTAAGATCTGGTACAGATGGATTGGGTGAAATATTGTAATTGAATGCGGATATATTTCCATCGGGATTCTTGTTCATCTAATAAATTTGATTCATCAATATATATTGTTGAATCATAATGTTATTAAATATTGTACAACATAAGTTGTACAAAGTTAAAAATAATAAGGTTATTGATTGTTTTTTTTTTTGGTATAGAGATCTTTTAAAGATTTATTGGTGAATTAAAAACACTTGACTACAGTTTGAAACATTAATTTTCACAATCCTCATATAAAATGCATGTAAAAATCATGAGCAAATATTCATATCCAGTTATACTGCATCAACAGTAATTATTATAACAAAGGGTATAATTATAATGTCCAGGACATTAGTTAGAAGTTTGCCCAAGAACTGAAATATTCCGAAAATACGCGAACCGCGATATGATATTATGAAATCCAAATTTGAAAAATAATGATTTCAAAAATTGATTTATATTTAATTTTGCATAAATTAGAAAAAGTCAATATAGTCAACAAATTCAAGAATTTTTAAAAAGTGTATTTGATAATTAAAAAAATTTAAAAATCATGATATTTTTCCAAAAATATCAAATTTTGGAAATGTAAGATGTATAAAGTAAGAATGGCATATATAAAATAAGATCAACTTTTTTACACAAGACTTTATGTAATATTATTATAAAAAGTATGTAATGTGCCTGCATATTTACTACCCTTACAAAACTATACGTAACTGGGAAGTTGAAATCTATGGGAAGTTAAAACCAAACTACATATTTCATTTGAATTATAATAAGACTAATCAAATAAAACTAAGAATTTGCACAATTATTTTATGTTCAATTTTTCAAATTTTAATTATGAACTGCTTTTTAAAAAAACTGATTATTTTAATTAATTTCCACAGTTTACCGGTCATTTTAGAAATATAATTTATAAACATTTAATTTTAGTTATAGCTGCTAAAATTATTTTTTGAAGTCCAGTTCAAAATCTCGTAAAATGCAAAGCAAAATAAGGAATAAAAATATAAAGGTATTAAAATATTCATTGATTAAATCAATTATTTCTATCATAAATAGTTGAATTTTGATTATTAAAATTTGCTATAAAATCCTACCTCTGGATAGTTAAATGGAAGAGAAGGTACTGCTGGTACTGGTGGTGGTTGAGGATATCCAATAAATCCTGCTTGTGGTGCTGGAGGGTATGAATTTCCACCTAAATAATTCTTGTCAGATAAGTCAATTAGCATGGCATCCATACCTACAATCATTTATATAAATAAATACCATGGGAATTGAAATTATTTGAATAATCATAAATGTTTATGTAGTACCTATATTAAAAAAAACTAAATCAACAATATCAAATAATGCTAGATAATAATGATGTAATATAAAGATGATATCATTATTATGTTGACAATAAATAATATGTGAATAAGTCATGGTTATATACATATAAAACAAACTCAATAAAGGGCTTTCTAATCTACAAACCTATTGGCCGGTTATCTTCCCTCATTATTTCTGGATCAGGCTGATAATCAATATTATAAATTTTTGCAATTTCGATTAAATATTTCTCTACAAGCAATTTAGGTGGAGTTTGAACTATCATCTTGTGTTTGAGCTTTTCTGCAACAGTCCCTATAGTCAGAACGACACGATTCTGCATACATTTACCATACTTAGCAGTTAATATATCTGAAATAACTAATCAAAAAATGAACCAATTAGGACATTGCACAAATAGTTAAATAGAATACAATAATGAAATGTACCTTTGAGTTCTTGAATGTCAGATTGCATACGAGGTGCAACCCACAGTAAGCTGGATACAGCTTCAGCAAGACCAGAATCTAACTCTTTCATTTGAGTTACAAGACCAAACCTAGCTAAAACCAGATCACAGTACATTTCTACCACTTCCATGGCTTCGACCATATAATCCTCTCTAAAATAATGAAACTGTTCATTACTTAATTTTAAATAAGAATTCTGTAAACAAATACCGTATGATGTGCTCAACACGTATTTTTGCTCTTTCATATTTTCCTGTTTGCAAATAATCTGCAATTTCCCTTCTAGCTTTTTGGGTTAATTCCGTTTTCTTCTTTTCCATTAATTTTAGTCTATTTATTGACAGTCTCAAATGCGTTTTTAACTTTGTATAGTTTGGACTGCTGGAAAACATTCTGTACGATTTAGATTCAAAGTATATGTAAATTTAAATAAGAAATAATTTGAAGTGTGTATGTATATAAATTACTGTAGTGTACTACATAAATGTGTTACTATAATATCCGAATGAAAGTCAATTATGACGAATTTAATGTATGCACTTAATAATGACTCATAGTATTATACATGTATTATATTTTCTAGGATAATGACGTTCACTGACAATTGCTGTCAATCAGAATCACAGATAATAACAAAGACCATAATTTAGATGACAGAGTACGTGAGCATAGCAATAAACAAGTAAAAATAGATCGGAAACCATAGATAAAAGAAAAGGATATAAAGATTTGCATAGATAAATAAGCAAAGTAAGCCCTTATTTGCCCTTATTATTTATAAATTTTTGTAAATTTGATCACTTTCAATAATTTTTCGTCACTTTAAATAATAAACAAACCCTTATTGCTTTTAGGAGTTTGTTTATTAATATGAAGTCAAACACTTGAAAGTTGCCTTAATGCAGGTTGCAAAAACTTTGAGATAGGTGTAATAATTAACTTAATCAACTGAAATTTAGTTTTGAATTAACTGTTATTTCGAAAATAAAGTTTTCCCTTCTCAAGATTTTAATGAATTTTTATAATTCAGCCAATTTTCGTAAGCATGCATATATAAGTAAATAGTTCGTATTATTAACGACTATTAGTGCACGAACTTTATCGCCACGTTAAATTTCATTGAAATACGTTTTTTTAAAAGAAAACTAACATATTATTTTGTAAACTATTAAGCACGATTAAGCAGCTGGAGAAGCTGCTACAAGAAAATACTATGGACGTACGTACGTATATCGTACGTACTCAGTCCTTGATATTAATTTAAATAATTATTTAAATTAATGGTAACATTTCTTACACAACCAGAAAAATTATATAAAACTGTTAGGTAACACAGACGTGAAAAATCTATTTATTTCATTATTCAATAATTTCTGTGAATAAAATGCACACATCCAAAAACTTGAGGTAGCGAGATTTTAGCGACAACTGACGAACATTTTTCACTTCTCTGTACAAAGAAACGGTTTGGCCGATCAGTATGAAAAACTAATTCTTATCGAGTTACATCGAATGTCTTTTAAAATTAAATCATTTAAATAAAGTTCATTTAAATATGAAATTTTAAATCGCTCCACCCGTTCCTTAGAAATGCCGACTCAAAACTTCGAGAAGCATAAAATTAGCAAATCGGATTTTTCGTAAATATAATCTCTTCAGGAGTTAATAGATAAATGGTATAATCTTAAGAAATGTAAATGAATTCAAGTGAATCCAAATTCAGTTAAATTTAATTATGAAAATTAATTAACATGAAAGTTACAATTAACATGAGTAAATTCTAAATAAACTGCTTGTTAGGTAACACAGACGTGAAAAATCTATTTATTTCATTATTCAATAATTTCTGTGAATAAAATGCCACATCCAAAAACTTGAGGTAGCGAGATTTTAGCGACAACTGACGAACATTTTTCACTTCTCTGTACAAAGAACGGTTTGGCGATCAGTATGAAAAACTAATTTCTATCGAGTTACATCGAATGTCTTTTAAATATTAAATCATTTAAATAAAGTTCATTTAAATATGAAATTTTAAATCGCTCCACCCGTTCCTTAGAAATGCCGACTCAAAACTTCGAGAAGCATAAATTAGCAAATCGGATTTTTTCGTTAATATATAATCTCCTTCAGGAAGTTAATAAAAATAGATAAAATGGTAAAAATCTTAAGAAATGTAAATGATTCAAGTGAATCCAAATTTTATTTAAGTTTAAATTTAATTATGAAAATTAATTAATCATGAAAGTTTACAATTAACATGTTGAGTAAATTCTAAAGTAGCACTCAAATAGTTCATATAATTTGGAAAATATTATAGTCCTCTGTGCGAATCATAAGAATTTGCTAAATCTTAGACTTTTCTTATATAATTTGCAGATAATTTTTTTATGCGATTCAAATAACTAGCTACTCACACATTTAATAAAAACAAATTGATGAACTATTTAAAACATAATATTAATTGCTGCATAATATTTATTGCTGAAATACTCTGTACTTTTGACCAATAATAAATATAACTTTACACGAGCGTACTCAAAACAGCCAAAGAGCTTTGAGTCACCAAGAAAATAGCAATATCCAATTATCTAACAATAGGCACTAAGTTAAATAAGGAAAAATTCAAAACAAAAATAATTTAATTTATTTTCTAAATATTGTTTATCAATAAAGTAATTATGACTTATTTATTCTTAATGCCTGTCTTAACAAATGTAATAATAGATTTCAATTTGCTAGAAACAATTTCTACTTTATCAGAACTGAGTTCATAATTTTGCAGAGCATCTGATAATTCTATAAGATCTGACACAAGTACCTTTTGCTGGTTCAGAAATATGCCTGAAATATTTGAATACAATGTTTCTATATTCGGTAGTTCTCGTGTTTCTATTTTTTTTAAATGTATGTTATGTGATGAAGAACTAGAATCTGAATTTCTCACTCTTGAGGATTCAAAGGAAGTCAATAAACATGCATTCTCAACAAAATTTTGCTTTCCTTCAGATTGTTTTTCATTTACTGAATCATTGGAATCTTGACTGGTTTTAAATAGCGGCTGCAAATTTTCTTTATGTTCTGATAATATGTGATATCTCACTGATTCTCTGTATGCAAATTTTTTACTACATATTCGGCAGCCATACTTTAGTTTATTTTTAGATCTATTAATTTGGTTGATATGTATTTGCTGTATATGTTTCAAAAGTTGGGATTTAAGAATAAATGTTAATTTGCATTTGGAACACCGATATTGAATTTTGCTCTTATCGAAAGACATTGTAGTAGTTGGAGCTGAAATTATTTGTTTAATAATTTATTTATTAATGTGTTTAAATTATATGAAGCTAAAAAACAAAAAATCTCTGTATATAATGAGGATCAATACCTGTCAATCTAAGGGGCAATGGCAATTCTATAGTAGATTTTGCTCCTTCTACTGTAACTAAATAAGAAAAAAGTTATGTTAACGATAAATTAATATCAGCAGTTCATTTCACATAAACTAACCGCTCGGTTCAGCTAGCGGAATAGGTGCAGGTGCTGGTGCAGGTACGGGTATAGATTCTGTATGTTGAGATGATTTCTGATTTACACAGGACTCTGAAATATTATGATTATTTAGTATTAAGTATACACTGAAAAGTTTCGGGGTCCTTATGATTTAAAGTAACAAATATTTAAGGATTAAAATCAGTAGGTCCAAATTTTTCAATGAAATTAATTAGTTCAGTAAAATTTGCTGTTGTGCCAGGTAGTCTAAAAATTCGATTTCAGAGTTTTTGCAACAGATATTTGTTGGGTAGTTGCAAATATTGATTTTAGAAAAACCCTGGACACAAGGTGAAATATCCAGATCAAACCAGAATGTATGGTTCCAGTATTGAATATGCTATTAGTTGGTTTAAATTATATATTAAATAATTAATTCAGTGCACACATACATTATGGGTAATAGTGCCAATTCTGCTCTTCAGTGAATTATTATAAATACCTTTGTCATTATTACGTGTGTATTTAAAAGAAACTTCCATCAAGCAATTTTCTTTTGCCAAAGGATCACCATTGAAACCAGGCATATTAATCGTTGGTAAAGATCCTATTTTAAATTTGACCCCATCCAACTCCCAGGAAATCTACAAGTTTCACTAAAATGTTCAGTGCAGAGTCGTTTAGCATCAATTTGTTTATGGCTCATTGCCAACAGTTTTGGGTCACCAATTCTACGAAACCATTCTTCTCTAACATTTACATAAAGAGGAAACCGATGCAAAAGTGCATGTTTGCGGGACTTTCCACAAGTAGATACTACACACTTGAAACCCATACTGCAGAAATAGAAACATTTAATAGAAATAACAGTATTGTTTTAACAATAACTGTGGCTCACCTTAACTTAGTCTTTTTATTGAATTCAGTGATATATATACACAAATACGTGCATATACATAGGATAAATAAGCATAGTTGGCTTACTCACTAGTGGCAGACAGTAGTTTGGTCGGCGTGGCCTATCAGAAATTAAAATCTGTTTTTTTTTATGAAAATGATTAAAATATAATAATTATTCTCTCTATATAAATCTCATTTATTTTGCATATTCTTTGTTTAACATACAAATCTTTAACCTACAATCAAGTATTTCTACAGTTGTCAAAATACATTGATACCAACAGTGTTTTCGAAAAGTCACATTGCTTGAAAATAAAATAAAACTAGTGGTGTGCATTGTGCATATCCTTATGCATAGATAAAAGAAATGTGCTTAAGCCATAGACCTTATACAATTTGTATTGTATAAGGTCTATGGCTTAAGCTTATTTATCTATGGGGTGCATGACATCGTGCCTTAAAGCAAATTGCTAGAACTTCCCGTACCGCAATTAAAAATCTTGGTAAGGAACCCAAAAAAAAATATACAAAATGTGTACACATTATTAAAATCTATATAAAATATCTGAAAACTTATTGTACATATGTCCAAAAAACATGTTTGACCGCCAAATGACATTTTTTAAACTTATTTTTATTAAGAGTCCATAATCGCTGGACCTGCCTTTCCAAAAATATAATCAGTTCTTCATCTCATCAATACAAGTAAAATGTTTTATTTATTATTAAAATCGGACGCTCCGTTCTCTTAAAAACTGAGTTACCGTTTTTGGCACTTTTTGCCCCGTATCTTCGGAACGGCTAGACCTGCCTTCGCCAAAATCTAATCAGCAAGTCTCCTTATAAATACAAATCGAATGTTTTTTGAATTATTCAAATCGGTTGATCGGTTCTTGAAATCGTCGACGAAAATTTGTATCCGCACACACACACACACATATACATTCATTTTTTCTAAGTATGTCAAAATATTCAGAAACCTTTCAAACGTAAAGATGTATGTGAAAAAAAAGAGCTGTTTTCTAGGGTTTTCCGGCAATTATTCGACTTTTTTCGCCGTAAAAACCATCCTTGAACTTCAACAAACATTTTAAAAAAATAATTGGCCAAATTGATCCAGGCGTTGTTGAGCAATGCGCTTACCAACACATTTTGCGATTCATTTTTATATATAAGAAGATTAAGATAACCAAGAAACCTACAAATTAGGATTAGTATTTTACACATTAAATTCTTATTTTTAAGATTTTATTGAAAAATGACCTTTACTTGGAGACTGCTGTCATTCTATTCTAAGCAGTTATATTCAAAGCAGCCAAAAAACGCTTAACAAATTTTCAAAAATACTTTTTACGCACAAAAATAAGTAGGAAATAGGTAACAACAAAATAGATTTCTTCAAGACAAATCCCAATTAAATAAAATGTAACTATTTCCTTTCGAAAAAGCAGAAACCTTCTTCAATTATTTTGAGGCAGGAAGTATAAAACAAATTGCTTCAAATTGCGTTGAACGAGAAGAAAAATTTATTTTGGATTTTTTAAAAGAGATCCAGGCCAAAGTATCTTGTTGCAGAATCAAAAGTACGAGAAAAGTAAACGATATTTGTGTTATACTTTGTTAAATTGTCTGTTTAGTTATATTTAGTATCTACAAATTCTAAGACTCTAAAAACACAGAAAGTCTTGCGAAAATTAAACATTTTAACAGCCAGCTTATGTAAAACTTAATATATGTAGTTTTTTTTACTTTTTGGTTTATTTCTAAATATACCGTCGACTCCTATTTTTATTTTGTGGACCCCAAATTTAGTTTTTGCTGCCGTGGACCCCACGAAAGTTGCCATGGACCCCTGGGGATCCATATGGACCACTTTGGGAATCACTAGACAAACAAAAGACAAAGAAGCCGCTTAAGAAAAGCAAAATTACAATTTTAAATATGTGTCCTACCTAACAAGGTGGTTTTGTAATATCGAATGTACGTAAAAAATTATAACGGTAAAATAATTGTCATTTTAATAGATACAATTTTATGTTTTTTTTAAATTCAAATTGTTTGTCAAATGTCAATGCTAATTTGAAGATATTTGTGGTGAAAAATACGATGGTATTTTTATGTTTTAATTACATATAGAAACATTTTTCATAAGAAACGTAATTTATTCAAAGTTAAGAATAGTATATAATGATAAAAAAATTTAACAATTTTCAAAATAAATTATAATAATTTAACCTTCATATTGATTCATACATCACATTATAAACTCTAATATCTATCTTTATCTTATATTCGTTTTCAATATTTGATTCAATACTTTGGCTTCACAGAATTATAAATACATTTATTATAATCTCACTAAAAACATCAAGAACTCCTCTATGTGCAAATAAAAATAAAAAAAACGAAAAATTAGCTTCTCATTCATATCTCTATATGTTATAATTCTTAGACTACATTTCTCATATAAAAGTTTTAAATATTTATGGATATTTCGAAGAGTATTTGAATATCTATATTTGAATTGAATATATATATATATATATATATATATATATATATATATATATCATTTCATTTTCTTTCAAAAAAAATTATTAAATTATCTTAAGGAGTAATAAATAAATATTTTATTTGATCATAATTATATTTACGAATCATATTTTCTTTAATAATAAGTTTATATATTATTATACTTTATATACCTAAATCAGAATATTAATATTCCCCAATCAACAAAACCTATGAGTTTTTATTCTTTATCATACAATAAAATGATTGTTCACTATTTATTAAATTTTTAAGAACTTAAAGTTCTTTTCTTAAACATAAGGCTCAATTTTTACCGATATTTTCTCAGTTTATAATAAACATGAATTTTATAAATTTCTTACATTTTTTATCGTTCTGTTATATAGTTTTAAAACTATATTTCTATATATATATTCGATCTATGTTTGAAAAACGTTCAATTTTCCATTTCAACAAAATGTAGTTTATTTAAAGTGACTTCTTATTAACTTCCCGTAGGGCAAGTTATAGTAATCGCAAAAAAATCGAAAATGAAAATTTTTATATATCTTTACGTTTCAGAGGTTTCTGAACATTTTGGCATACCTTAGAAAAAATGGATGTATGTGTGTGTGTGTGTATGTGTGTGTATGTATGTGCGGATACAAATTTTCGTCGACGATTTCGGGAACACGGATCAACCGATTTGAATAATTCAAAAAACATTCGATCCGTATTGATAAGGAGACGTGCTGATTAGTTTTTGGCAAAGGCAGGTCAAGCCGTTCCGAAGATACGGGGCAAAAAGTTCCGAAAACGGTAACTCAGTTTTTAAGAGAACGGAGCGTCCGATTTTAATAATTCAAAAAACATTTTATTTGTATTGACAAGATGAAAAATCGATACAACTTTCATGAAGGTAGGTCCAGCGGTTTCGGAGATATAGAGGAAAAAGTAAAAAAATGAGCCATTTGGCGGTCAAAAATGATCATGATTTTAACAATAAGCATACATTTTGTTAACATTCCTATCGGTTCCGTACCAATGCTTATGCGTTAGACAGCGACGCGGCGCTTACGCGCTTTATATTTTGTCCCTATGTAGTTGAAGCAGTACGATTGCTTTGAAAAAAAAGTTCAGATCTTCCACAATATGTCAAAATAAAAAAAAAAAAAAAATTTCAAAAAAAAAAAAATTTTTTAAAAAAAAAATTTTTTTTTTTTCAAAAAAAACTAATTTTTTGTCCAATTTATAGTTTCTCAAAAATTTTATTTTTTCAAAGTAATTTTTTTTCAAAAATGTTAATCGTTTTAAAAAAAAATAATAATTTTTGGTACGGGAAGTTCCAGCAATTTGCCCTAATGGCACGATGCCCTAATTGCCTTAAGACAGAATTCCACTTACAGCTAGTTTAAGAATTGAATCCATTTAATCGACAATCTCCTGAGATCTATAAATTTCGAGGCGGGGCCTGAAAAATTTCTGGAGGCATCATAAAATGATTTCGTCCAGTTCCAACTTCAGTATTGGTGACTGGAATCCGTGTATCGTATAATGATGGCGACTGGAAGATAATTCCAAATGTTCCTCCAAAGCATGCCAATGTGAATAACCACAAAAAGAAACGATCCAGGACCATAGACACAAATTTCCAGTCTTCTACTATCTGCAAATATTTTTTATGTTAAAGATTTTTATGTTGCATACATGTAAGCGTGCTTATATGTAAACATTATGGGTGGGTAAGTTAAAGTAATCGCAAACAAATCAAAATAATTTTTTTAATATCTTTACATTTCAAAGGTTTCTGAACATTTTGGCAAACCTTTGGAAAAATGGGTGTACGTGTGTGTGTATGTATGTTTGGATACAATTTTTCGTCCACGATTTCATGGGGTGCATGGATCAACCGATTTGAATGATTCAATAAACATTCAATTCCTGATGGGAAGACGTGTTTATTAGTTTTTGGCGAAGACAGGGTCACCCATTTCGGAGATACGGGACAAAAAGTGCCAAAAATGGCAATTCAGTTTTTGAGGTAACGGAGCGGACGATTTAAATGATTCAAAAAACATTTTATTTGTATTGACAAAATGAAGAATTGGTTGAATTTTTGGGTAGGCAGGTCTAGCGTTTTCGGAGATACAGAGAAAAATGTAAAAAAATGATATTTTATCGAATGTTATAATTGTAAAGAATAACGAATCATTACATTTACTTACAACCATACTTTTTGGAAATTCGGAACAATCTGGGACAAACAACTTGAAATCGGGACAAATATTAAGTTTTCTAAAAAAAGCAGGACGTGTTTAACTTTCGCCAGAATTAAAATTAAAATCTGAATTATTTTCGATATATTAAAAAAAAGACAAAAAAATTGAAATAATCTTTTTTTCCGAAGGCAATTATCTTGACAAAACAAGCAAAAAGTTTTTTGAATCATTTCAAATCGAATGCTTAGCCTTCACAAAACTGTAATTTTTTGCACAATTAGCTCGGTATCTCCAAAATGATTGGGCCTGCCTCTGCCAAAAACTAAACACAATTTCTCCCAATCATTACAAACTGAATGTTTTTTGAATCCTTCAAATCGGATACTCAATTATCTCAAAACCTCGATTTATATTTTTTGCACTCTTTGCTCCGTATCTCCGTAACGGCTGGACCTGGCTTTGCCAAAAACTAATCAGCACATTTACCTATCACACACATCAATTTTTTGAAACGTAAAGATTTGCAAAAAATTTCGTTTTCGATTTTCAGCCCATTACTATAACTA